GGAAAAACCTACAACAACCCATACTAGGTTTGGTACACTCAGAATAGCATATGTGTGAAGCTATATACTTACTATTTCCAAAGATGAAGGTTTCCAGCTCCTCCACTAGTTAAAAAGATATCTCTGTTCTGTGGAAGATGTCGAACTTGCCACATAGTAGATTTGTGAGCCTAACAGAAAAATTATGTATAAATCAGTCTAACCGGTCTGTTTTATCTAGATGCATTGTCTACTATGAATCAAACTCATAATCCTAATGTATTATTAAAAAACAGAGGCCCATAAATCCAGTTAACAAGAAGTCAGTGGCAATGCAAGCATCTTTGTGGTGATTGCAGGACCTTGGTTACCCTAAGAGATCTTCCCTCAGTTCTCTACTTACAGCAGCAAAAAGGAAAAATGGGATCAGTATTGTTTCAGTAGACAGGCCCATTACACATCTCTCACATTTACTGATATATGCATTGAGGGTGGTGATATTTGCAATGAGGAAAAGAATAAAACAACAAAATATCAGAACTGTTGATGCCAATGTAGGGACAAATACTTATGGAGAAACATACCCCCCCCCCCCACACACACACACACAACGTGGTGCAAGACCTGTATAAATACAACATGACAGTGTGGCAGATGCATACATAACTCTTGTCTGCCTTGCCAAACATCAGGAGTTACTCATCAAGACAAGGCCAAATGTGCATGTATATGGATGACTGCTGCCTAAAACCAAGAAAGCATCAAGTCCCTATCAGGGCCATTGTGGACTACCAAATGACACTTTACTTCGGAATGGTGTCCAACTTCCATAAAATTACGAAATGTTGTAAACTCTCATAGAAAGAAAATATCAGCCAGCACGTCAACGACTTAAATCAAGAAATAGTTTTCTTAGATCTACAGAGACACTCGCTGGAACACCTCAGCAAGCGAGAGTCCAAAAGTGGCAGGCTCAAACCCAGCACCTCAATCCATGGGTGATACCAGATGAGAGACTCCCCCCTGGGCACAGAGGACTGGGCAACTTGGAAGGCGCTGAACAGACTGCGCTCTGGCACCACGAGATGCAGAGCCAACCTTAAGAAATGGGGCTACAAAGTGGAATCCACGACATGCGAGTGCAGAGAAGAGCAAACCATTGACCACCTGCTGCAATGCAACCTGAGCCCTGCTGCAGGCACAATGGAGGACCTCCTTGCGACAACACCAGAGGCACTCCAAGTGGCCAACTACTGGTCAAAGGACATTTAATCAACTACCAAGTTTGCAAAATTTGTGTTTTTTTATCTGTTTGTTTGTTTTGTTCTGTTAGAAATGTAATACAATGGTATGGTTGCTGATGACACAATAAATAAATAAATAGAAAGAAAAGTCTACAGTTGCAGGATAGTTACGAATATCGCATCTATGCTTCACTCTATTGCTGTATGGATAACTTTAGAAATTGATCTTCCAAAAACTTTGAGTGGGAGCAATGTATTATTTGCCAACCATAATGACTTCTGTTAGTAGAAAGAGGAGGAAGGCGATCTTCCACATCCCTCTCCATGCACCTTCAAAAACCACAATGAAACAGGTTCTCAGGCAATGTTAAATACAGGGGGAAAAAGTACAAACCTACCCCTGCACCCTAACCCTGCATCCAGTAAATTCCCACTGCCATTTTGTTAGATTTAGAACTTTGGACCTGAGGTCCTTAAACAAATTTGTTCCAAAATATTTTTTATCATGTCTCGTCCACAAGGCATGCAGTTAAGAGCAAAAGACTTCCAGTCATAACAACCAACAGCATATTTTATATTGTACCTTCTCTGAAACTGAAGCAAACCCTTTGGTTGGATGCTGAGTGCGCATATCAAATACATGAAACTTCCCTTCAAGTGATGTAGCAACCAATTTGTTCATATTTATATCTTTCCGGTCAAATTCAACACTGCAAACCTGGAAATACAAAATGAGCGTAAGCAAGGCTTTACACTGGAGTGCGATCTGCAATATGTGCACTGAGAAGCAAGTCCCACAAAGGATACGTACTAAAAACTGAAGATATACACCCCAATTCCACAAAAGGCTCACTGAAATCTGTGACTGGGAGCAAAGGGGTGGAGAAAATGTTCCTCCAAATTATTGAACCACAAAATTCATTAGTGTAATGCAATAGCTTTAAAAGCCAATGGGATTTACGGCTGCATCAAAAGGAATCTACTGCCTAGATCAAGGGAAGTCATGGTGCTTCTCTATTCTGCTTGGTTAGACCTCATCTGGAATAACACTGTGTCCAATTCTGGGCCTCACAGTTCCAAAGAGATATTGACAAGCTGGAAGGTGTCCAGAGGAGGGCAACTAAAATGATCAAAGGTCTGGAGACCATGTACCCCTATGAGGAGCATCTTAAAGAACTGGGTATGTTTAGGCTGCAAAAGAGAAGGTTGAGAAGAGACATGATAGCTTGGCGGGGATGAGAGACAAGGTCTTCTCAGCAGTGGCCCCCCACCTGTGGAACTCGCTCCCGAGCAAAATTAGGTCAACTGCATCCCTCCTTTCCTCCAGGAAGAAGTTGAAAACATGGTTTGTGGGACCAGGCATTCAGGTAGCAGGCTGATAATGATGATAACAATATGAAGAACTGACTAACAGGCTTTGGACTGAGTCGTTGGTTGCAGAATTTCGGATTTAGATATGGCTAACAGTGAATACTATTTTAAATGGTGTTTAATTTAATTTTAATCTAATGTTTTTACTTATTATGTAATTGTTGTGTTTTACTATGTTTGTATGTGGGGGCATCAAATTGGTGCCGGCTGTAAGCCTCCCAAAGTCCCCCTCAGGAGGTTGAGAAAGGCGGGGTACAAATGTTTGAAATAAATCTATATAAATAAAAATGTAATGTTCGTTTGTGGGATTAACATAACTTAAAAACCACTGGACGAATTGACACCAAATTTGGACACAATAAATAATCAGGCCAACAAGTGACCATCACTCATAAAAACAATGAAAAACACAACGAAAGATACTTAAAAAGCCAAAAAAAATACATTACAATGCATGCACAAAACCACATATATACATGCAAGCACATATATACACATATACAGAAATATATACACACATATACACAGAAAGGGGGAAGGAAGGAAGGAAGGAAGGAAGGAAGGAAGGAAGGAAGGAAGGAAGGAAGGAAGGAAGGAGAGAAAGAAGAAGAGAAAGAGGGAAAGAGGGAGAGAAAGGAAGAAAGAAAGAAGGTAAAAAAGGAAGGAAGGAGAGAGAAATAAGAAAGAGAAAAAGGAAGGGAAGAGAGAGGAAAGGAGAAAGGAAGAAGAGAGAAAGAGGGAGGAGGGAAGGAAGGAAAGAGCCAAGGAAGGATGAAACCAAAGAGCAAAGGAAAGGAAAGAAACAGGTAGAGAAGGAAGAAAGAGGAAAGGAAGAAAAAGAGGGAAAAGGAAAAAGGGAGGGAAGAAAGAAAGAAAAGAGAGAAAGAGGGAGGGAAGGTTGGCCACAGCAACGCATGGCAGGTACAGCTAGTAATAAATAAATATGTGAAAAGATGCCATAAGGAATATAGAGCAGTCTTGTTTTCTGCTGTCCTGGAAACCAGGACTCAAAGTAATGGGTTCAAATTACAGGAAAGAAGATTCCACCTGAACATTAGGAAGAACATCCTGACTGTAAGAGCTGTTCAGCAGTGGAACTCTCTGCCTTGGAGTGTGATGGAATTTCCTTCCTTGGAAACTTTTAAACAGAGGCTGGATAACCATCTGTCAGGGGTGCTTCGATTGTGCTTTTCCTGCATGGCAGGGGGTTGGACTGGATGGCCCTTGTGATCTCCTCCAATTCTATTATTCTATGATTATCCATCACCACTGGTTAGGATAGCCAGAATTACTGGGTTTTGCTGAAACTTCCATCTTACAAAAAAGAAGAAATAGAAGCACTTTAACATGCATTTGTAATGCCTTACCCCATTCTTAATGTTGGTTTCCCATCGCAATGTCATGTTCTTAAGGTCAAACAACTTGATGTCTCCATTGTCATAGCCAGCACAAACAACACGCTCTTCTTGATTATATGCATTGCCTAGTTAGGAAAAAGGACTACTATCAGATCCAGAATCACCACTGTTGTTATATACTTTCAAGTCATTTCCAACTTATCATTGGATTTTTTAAGCCAGATGTGTTCAAAGAAAGTATCGCTTTTGCCTTCCTTTGAGACTAACCATAACCATAACCCAGTGAGTTTCCATAGCTGAAGAGGCATCTGAACCACATTCTCCAAAGTATCTCAAGCCAATCATCATATGGCCAAACATTTTTACGCCAGTTCTAAATTTCTACACTAACATTATTTTAAAGTTGTTCCTCTGTGCTAGAAACTCACTCTTGTTACTATACAAGGTTTTTGCTCAGGTCTATTAAAAAGTTAAAACAAAGAAAGGAAGAGTGCAAAAACTGAAATACTTGGAGAAAATCCCATCTTTCTATATTTTTAATTTTAAACGCAAAGCACCATATTCTCTGTCACAAGAAAACTGCATCTGTAAGAATGTTTTTATAAAAGGCCACTTGATATTGTAGCATTTTGAAATGAAAAGGAAGCAGTTGAAAGACAATTTACCAAAACAAACGATTTATATACTGTACTAGAAGAGCCGATTCTAATTCTTAGCAGGGCAGAAAACAGAGAGCGAGGAAGGCCACATTCTTAGTCCAGGAAGAGCCGTTCAGCAGTGGAACTCTCTGCCCCGGAATGTGGTGGAGGCTCCTTCTTTGGAAGCTTTTAAACAGAAGCTGGATGACCATCTGTCGGGGGTGCTTTGAATTTGATTTTCCTGCTTCTTGGTAGTGGGTTGGACTGGAAGACCCATGAGGTCTCTTCCAACTCTATGATTCAGCTAGCTTTACCCGTTATGCGTTGCTGTAGCCAACCTTCCCCCTCCCTCCCTCCCTTTCTTTCTTTCCTTCCTTCCTTCTTCCTTCCCCCCTCTTTCCTTCCTTCCCTCTTTTCCTTCTTCTTTCCCTTTTTCTTTCTTCCTTCTCTACCTGTTTCTTTCCTCCCTTCCTTTGCTCTTTGGTTCCATCTTTCCTTGTCTCTTTCCTCCCTTCCTTCCCTCCCTCTTTCTCTTTCGTTCCTTCTCTCCTTTCGCTCTCTCTTTCCTTCCTTCTCTCATTTTTTATTTTCTTCTCTCATAGAATCATAGAGTTGGAAGAGACCTCATGGGCCATCCAGTCCAACCCCCTGCCAAGAAGCAGGAATATTGCATTCAAATCACCCCTGACAGATGGCCATCCAGCCTCTGTTTAAAAGCTTCCAAAGAAGCCTCCACCACACTCCGGGGCAGAGAGTTCCACTGCTGAACGGCTCTCACAGTCAGGAAGTTCTCCTTCCTTCCTTCTCTACCTTTTCTTTCCTTCATTCTCTCCTTCACTCCTTCTTTCCCTTTCTCTTCTTCCTTCCCCCTTTCTGTGTATATGTGTTTTATGTGTGTATATATGCATATATGTGTGTGTATATATTTGTGTATATGTGTGTGTTTGTGTATATGTGTGTGGTTTTGCGCATGCATTGTAATGGGTTTTTTTTGCTTTTTAAGTCTCTTCTGCTGTGTTTTTCAGTGTTTTTATGAGTGATGGTCACTTGTTGGCCTGATAGGTGTATTGTGTCCAAATTTGGTGTCAATTTGTCCAGTGGTTTTTGAGTTATGTTAATCCCACAAATTTTGTCGTGTCAGGAGTGACTCCTGGTGTGAGAGAATTGGCTGTCTGCAAGGACGTTGCCCAGGGGACGCCTGGATGATTTGATGTTTTTATCATCCTTGTGGGAGGCTTCTTTCATGTCCCCGCATGAGGAGCTGGAGCTGATAGAGGGAGCTCATCCGCTTCTCCCTGGATTCAAACCTGTGACCTGTCGGTCTTCAGTCCTGCCGGCACAGGGGTTTAACCCACTGCACCACCGGGGGCTCCATCCCACAAATGAACATTACATTTTTATTTATATAAATTTCAGACACAACATTTAAACACTCTGGCGTTGTTTCAACTCTAGTGTTGAAATGAAACAAAGCATGTGGAAAGTTGATGTTACAGTAGTCAAAGACGTAAGTGATACATTAACAGAAATTCCAGGATATATTTTGTCAATAAGAATTAACAAGCTCAGAGAACTTACCAAATGCTACTGTCCAGCAGTCTCGCTTACTCTCTCCTTGTGCTGGTTCCATATTTGCAACTGGAATATCTTTTTGTCTTGGATCCCATACCTTCACAGTCCCTGCAGTCATTGATATTAGATTATCCTGTTACTGGTCAAATGACCTGCACCACCTATTCTAGCTTCAGCTGCTTCAATTTTAAGAAATCATGATATCTTTCCTTTACAGCTCTTTATATTTCAAATATTACAAAAGAACAAAACACAAAATAGAGTGCTTTGTTTTGAGATTTATTCATATGGTCAATAAATGAAGCAAATGTAAGTCATTTGAAATATCAGTGTTCAGCTATCTTCCCTCAAAATTATATCTTCCCTCAAATACTACTCATCCTCTATGTTTATGTATTACAGCTGTCTCTGATTGTTTTGCTTTGTGTTCCTCTTTCTACATCCTCATATGTGGAGGTATCAGTTTGCCACAGCCCTCTAATGACTTATGTCAAAACTTTGTTCCATGTGGAACTCAAAATAGAACCTACAGCATATGTAGATCTGATTGCAGTATCCTTGTAACCATATCATATAGCAGCTGAAGAACCCAGAATGGAAGAAAGCTGGCCAAGACTGCTGTTACCAAGTATATGCTAGCTAAGGGAAAAAAAAATCTATGGAAAGGCAATGATGGAATCCACTTAGAGATAGTTGTTTACAGTTGGAAGTGGAAGATTTCCTTTACCTACTTTCCAAATTCCCTGCCAGGTTTAAAAAAGATGCCCCCTGTGCCCTCTATCTATAAGGAAACTCTCAGCAATATGTCCTCAAAATGCACTTTACTATGGATTTAGGACTGTCTGCGTTCCCTCGTCTCTCTTTGAAAAACTCTATCCCAGTTATATCCTACCTTGTTCATGCCCAGCATTATTTTTTAAATTTTAAATTATTACATTTGGCCCGGCCATAGATTTTTAAATGCTTGTTTGTTACTGTTATTGTTTATTTTTTGTTTATGTGATTTATATTAATTGTTTTGTATTGCTTGTTTTTGTTACTGCCTTTATTTACTGATGTACTGTGGGCTTGGCCTCATGTAAGCCACACCGAGTCCCTTGGGGAGATGGTAGCAGGGTATAAATAAATTATTATTATTATTATTATTATTACTATTATTATTATTATTATTATCATCAGTGTTAAGCACTGCAAGAGAACCCTGTAACATGTCAAAAAGATGAATAGCCATTCCTAGAACTTCCCAGGAGAAGCAATTCATCCTTTTTGTGCAAGACAAATTGGCAAAAAGCTTCTGGGGAGGTCAAGGACTGCAAAAATAGCTCTGTAGGGCCATATTAATCCCTAAAGCCATTTCCACAATGTCCCTATATCCCAGTGTTTGATCCCAGATTATCTGGCAGTGGAAACTCATATAATCCAGTTTAAATCAGATAATCTGGGATCAGATCCTGAGATTTAGGGCAGTGTAGAAGGAATCTAAATTAAGCAGAGGCAGGCTAATACTCAACCTTACATGCTAAAACGATCTATAGGATCATGCAGCTGGGGGTGCTGTGCGAACCCCTTATATCTGATGAGAATTGCAGAAGTTGCAATAAATTTGGAGGTCGGCAACGTCAGTTTAGACCAGGGGTCCTCAAACTTTTAAAACAGAGGGCCAGGTCACAGTCCCCCAAACTTTTGGAGGGTCGGATTATAATTTGAAAAGAAAACATGGATGAATTCCTATGCACATACTGTTGTAGTACAGCGTGATGGTAATGTTGCTACTACTGGTCGAAGAAGAGGGCTGCGCAGGTGTTGGAAGAGGAGCAGCAGCAAAAGCGGATTAGAGAGATAATCATGGCCCCGAGTGATTATGAAACCTTCGAGGGTTTCTCTGACTGTGAAATGGGGGATGGGGAGGAAAGCAGGGGAGTCAAGTGGGCTACTCGTAAACAAGAATCTGACAAGGAGATTCAAAGGAAGTGCATCCGTGATATACTTAGCGCTCCTACAGAGGATGAAGACTTCATGGGCTTTGAAGGGAGTGATGGGACTGGGAGTGACATGGGGGAGGAGGATGACCTTGACTGGACCCATGTACAGGGGATTAGGGATATCTGTACCCAGCCTACCTCCAGCGATGACATTGAGGGGTTTACAGAAGAGTGGCAACCAGGAAGCACTTGGCAAGATCTAAGTCTTGACAGACCCTGGCAAAGGTGGAGGGATGGGGGTCTAGGTTCAGCTGCAGGGAATGGGGCAGCTGAGAGCGATGATGAAAGGGTGGGGAGCACCTCATCTTCTGATGAGGAACTTTAGGATATAAGTGGGTTTTGTTTCAATGGGTCTTTGCAGAAGGCAAAGTGTCTTTTTGTGCGGGATTCTTTGTTCCTGCCAATTCTCGAGTTTGGGTCCTTGGACTACAGATCTCCGTGTTCCTGTGTTTACTTCGTGAAACTCCGTAAGTGACGACTTCTACTCTCCTGTTTTTGAATCCGGATCGTGTTTGACAATGGCTACGTGTTTTGGACTATCTCAACTTGCTTGGAACGTGTTTGGACTACGGACTGCCTTTGGACACTGTTTTTGCTCATTACCAACTTGTTTTTGTATGCTCTTTGGACACTGTGAATTTCAAGCGGATTGCTACATGTTTCTGTTATACCGGATTATATACCAGGATAATCTGGATTATATTTAAGTTGCTTTTTTCACCTTGCGTTTGCTACAAGCTCTTGGTTATTACTTGGGACACTGAAGTAAGTGTCTCCAAGCCTTTTTTGTAACCAATAAACTTGTGTTTTGACCTTTTACATTGTGTTTGGTGTCTTTAAGGCTTCTGGGTTTTGACACATACGTATCTTATTTGTAGTGTAAATAACACTTAAAAACAAAACAATAATTAAAATGAAGAACAATTTTAACAAATATAAACTTATTAGTATTTCAATGGGAAGTGTGGGCCTACTTTTGGATGATGAGATAGGGTTGTTGTTGTTGTTGTTGTTGTGCGCTTTCAAGTCATTTCAGACTTAGGTTGAGCCTGAGCAAGGGCCGAGTAAATGACCTTGGGGGGCCGCATCCAGCCCTCGGGCCTTAGTTTGAGGACCCCTGGTTTAGACTATAGGAATATATAGGTTCATAACATTCACATCTAAACTACATAATCAAGCATTGAAAGAAGTGTTTTCATGGTTATCAGTCTTTAATATTCCAATAGAGCTAGCTCACCATCACGACTACCAGTCACAATTTCTGGTGCTCCTTCTCCAACCCCTAAGCCACCTACACCATCAATACAATTTATGATTTCTTCATGTCCCTTTGCAGAGTAGACTGGTGTTTCTGGAGCTTCCAAATTCCTAAAGAGAAGAAAGGAACAATGTATTTATGTTTATTCCGAACTCATAATAAAATGATTCAGGAATATGTAGCACCACAACTTACAACAAACTAATGCCAATTTCCTCAATAACAGTGGTAGTCAGTAGAATATACATCATTAATGAGTTTTTCATGTGCAAAATACAAAGACAAAAGACTTTATTTGCAATTGCTATTTTTGAAATTGTATGTTGTCGGCATCAAATTGCTATCTGTTGTGAGGCCGCCTTTAGCCCTTAACATATTTAAAATACATTTAGCCATTAAAATGAGAAACTGGTCTTACAAATGTATTGTATCACACATTTCAAAAGCAGTTTGTTATATAACTGGTGCAGACAGGGAAGTGAGACTGCTTTTTGAGAGAGAGTGTTCCAGAAAATCCTGAAACCTGTGAATTCAGTTACTGGTTCGCATTGAATGTGTTATAATACAGTTAGACACAAAGCTTACTTAACTTGGCCTTTTGATGAAATAATCTACTAAATTTGTATTAGTAATCTTAGTATCAATATTCTCAAAACAGGGTAATTTACACGAATTTATATGGATACTAGCCGTCCCCTGCCAGACGTTGCTGTGGGAGGTTTGGCCCAATTCTATTGTTGGTGGGGTTCAGAATACTCTGTGATTGTAGGTAAACTATAAATCCCAGCAACTACAAATCCCAAATGTCAAGATTCTATTTTCCCCAAACTCCACCAGTGTTCACATTTGGGCATATTGAGTATTTGTGTAGAGTTTGGTCCAGATCCATCATTGTTTGAGTCCACAGTGATCTCCGGATGTAGGTGAACTACAATTCCAAAACCAAAGGACACTGCCCACCAAACCCTTCCAGTATTTTCTGTTGGTCATGGGAGAACTGTGTGCCAAGTTTGGTTCAATTCCATTGTTGGTGGGGTTCAGAATGCTCTTTGATTGTAGTGAACTATAAATCCCAGCAACTACAACTCCCAAATGACAAAATCAATTTTTTTTGAGTGAAGGACATACATTGGGTTGTTAGGTGTCTTGTGTCCAAATTTGGTGTCAATTCCCCCAGTGTTTTTGAGTTCTGTGAATATCACAAATGAACATTACATTTTTATTTATATAGATGTACTAACTGAGAAAACATGGCCATACAGATTACAGCTTTACACAATATTAGTCAGACTATCTAATGTTCCTTACCATATATTTAAATTTCCACCAAAGTCCCCTGTCGCCAGGTATCTTTGTTGCAGAGAGGCAGCACCAAATGTTCCACATTTAATTGGCCTTGGCTTTTCAATCTAGAAAAAGGAGGGACACAAACATTTTTGGCAGAGCCCTTAATAATTTTATATGAATTTTCCTGCAATGGGAAAAATGCATTTCAGAGTCCAGTAGTGGAGAAGAGACTTTTGAAATGTAAAATACACAAAGATTGCAGTCAATAGTTTCAGCAGAATTCAGATATATGAAACAGGAGACTCACTTCACCTACAGATGTTTTTACTGTAACTCAACAATCCTAAGTGCAATAGTAAATAATGGAGAATGATGCACTGCAGTCCAGCAACATCTTTTGGGGGGGGGGGGGGGGGGCGGCATGATTCCCATTTATTATTTACCAATAGAAAAACTAATCATATATTTTAGTCTAATTTACGGTTTGATATTGCATTTAGCTGTAAATGAACGTGGAGTGGGCATTACATCACCGCCACTAAACTCAATAGATGTTACTTTTCAGTAGTCAATTCCAGTATAGCAGAGTCATTCCCTTTTCTCATGAAAAGCCTAGTTATTCCTCATGATTTAGAAAAAAGGAAGAGAAACGAAGTAGTTGCTAACAAAGTAGTTGCTATCTGTGACCTGGAAAAGAAAAGGTAAAGAGATGCTTTTCAAATTGCCACACTTTCAGAAACTGTCAAATCTAACAATGTTATTTTTGTTGTTCTTTCGTTCAGTCGTTTCCGACACTTTGTGACCTCATGGACCAGCCTACGCCAGAGTTCCCTGTCGGCCATCACCACCCCCAGCTCCTTCAGAGTCAAGCCAGTCACTTCTAGGATGCCATCCATCTTACTCTTGGTCGGCCCCTCTTCCTTTTTCCTTCCATTTTCCCCAGCATAACTGTCTTCTCTAAGCTTTCCTGTCTTCTCATGATGTGGCCAAAATACTTCATCTTTGTCTCTAATATCCTTCCCTCCAATGAGCAGTCGGGCTTTATTTCCTGAAGTATGGACTGGTTGGATCTTCTCACAGTCCAAGGCACTCTCAGAACTTTCCTCCAACACCACAGTTCAAAAGCATCTATCTTCCTTCGCTCAGCCTTCCCTAAGGTCCAGCACTCACATCCGTAGGTTACTACAGGGAATACCATGGCTTTGACTATGTGGATCTTTGTTGCCAGTGTGATGTCTCTACTCTTCACTATTTTATCGAGATTGGTCATTGCTCTCCTCCCAAGAAGTAAGTGTCTCCTGATTTCCTGGCTGCAGTCTGCGTCTGCAGTAATCTTTGCACCTAGAAATACAAAGTCTGTCACGGCCTCCACGTTTTCTCCCTCTATTTCCCAGTTGTCAATCATTCTTGTTGCCATAATCTTGGTTTTTTTTATGTTTAACTGCAACCCAGTTTTGCTTTCTTCTTTCACCTTGATTAGAAGGCTCCTCAGCTCCTCCTCGCTTTCGGCCATCAAAGTGGTGTCATCTGCATATCTAAGGTTGTTAATGTTTCTTCCACCAATTTATCCCCAGCTTTGCATTCATTAAGTCCTGTACATCGCATGATGTGTTCTGCATACAAGTTGAATAGGTTGGGTGAGAGTATACAACCTTGCCGTATGCCTTTCCCAATCTTGAACCAGTCTGTTGTTCCATGGTCAGTTCTTACTGTTGCTACTTGGTCCTTATACAGATTCCTCAGGAGAGAGATAAGGTGATTTGGTATGCTCATACCACCAAGAACTTGCCACAATTTATTATGATCCACAGTGTCAAAGGTTTTAGGATAGTCAATAAAACAGAAATAGATGTTTTTCTGAAACTCCCTGCCCTTCTCCATTATCCAGCAGATATTGGCAATTTGGTCTCTTGTTCCTCTGCCTTTTCTAAACCCAGCTTGAACATCTGGCAACTCTCGCTCCATGTATTGCTGGAGTCTTCCTTGCAGGATCTTGAGCATTCCCTTACTGGCATGTGAAATAAGGGCCACTGTACGGAAGTTTGAGCAGTCTTTCGCATTTCCCTTTTTTGGTATGGGGATATAAGTTGATTTTTTCCAGTCTGATGGCCATTCTTGTGGAATCACTAGGTTCTTGTAGGTTTTTTCGGGCTATAGGGCCATGTTCTAGAGGCATTTCTCCTGACTTTTCGCCTGCATCTATGGCAAGCATCCTCAGAGGTAGTGAGGTCTGTTGGAATTAGGAATGGGTTTATATATCTGTGGAATGGCTGGGGTGGGGCAAAACATAGTATTATTGGAGAACACAGAAATGCTGGACCACTCTCACAACCCCCATGTCAGACTACACAGAGAAGCCATTGAAATCCACAAGAAGCATGTGGACAATTTCAACAGAAAGGAAGAGACCATGAAAATGAACAAAATCTGGCTACCAGTATTAAAAAACCTCTAAAATTACAACAGCAAAACAGCAGAGAGGAAACAACCAGGCACATCTTAACACCTCTCAACAAAATATTTTCCCAGGCTCAGCCAGGCCTTCAAATGCTAATGAAGGTGGTCAGTTGAAACATTCACACCTAGCTCCAGCAGAGAAGAGTTCTTTGCCCCACCCCAGCCATTCCATGGATATATAAACCCATTGTCCTAATTCCAACAGACCTCACTACCTCTGAGGATGCTTCCCATAGATGCAGGCGAAACGTCAGGAGAAATGCCTCTAGAACATGGCCCTATAGCCCAAAAAACACCACAAGAACCTACTTTATTTCTGTTTTCTTTTCCTTTTCAATCCAGCTTGTCCTATATTTAAGGCCCAATGCCAAACATGTTACCCAGGAACGGTCAATGGGACTATCCAAGTTGGCATGTTTATTTATATCCTGTTAACCAGTCACTGTAAATCGACACATCTAAGTCAGATGCCACCTAATTACAGATGACTGATGTTCAGGTTTGTTCCGCACTTAAGAGCCGAGCTTGAATAAATCAAGCAAAAAACCAACACAAGTTTAGCACTGAGCATGAAAGAAACCCAACTGAAATACATTCTTGTGTGTCAGCAGCTAGTTCGTTGCTGCAATTTGCTATTTTTAACTCTAGAACTTTTAGCCTGAGATACAAGCTGTGGGACAAACAACTGGGCAAGAAAATTATGCACCACTTTTCCTTGTATGTTGCTTTACATTTTTCACCTTCCTCCTCTGCATTTTATTTCTATACGAAATATCAGAGCTAGTTCTTTTAACATACTAATGAAGTTTGGGGTAGAAGTGTATACATAAAACGTGGTTATAGAAAACCATGTTTACATTAATGATGTGGATGAGTTGATAGTCACTGGAAAGCAAACTACAACAAAACAAAGAAGAACTGCTTCTTAACAAGGTTTCATGACCAATTTCACAAACCAGCCAGGGAAGGCTCCACTTCAGTTTTCCTTAATGCTTTATAAGGCCAATGTATTGCACTCTTCTATTGCTATGGCTACAGCAACCAACGCTCTGTGGGAAGTGCAGTGCTGTGTATACAAGCAAACTAAACGGCTATCACCATGGTGACTAGCACAGCATTCCTCACTGGGATTTGCTTCTAAACCAAGCCCGATCTTCAACACAGGTTTGCTAAATGGTTACACCAAGTAAGGCCCTTCTCCACTGTCATATCATATCCAGATTATCTGCTTTGAACTGGATTATATGGCAGTGGAGGAGAGGTCTAAAACATAATGTGGATTGTCTGCTTTGATAATCTGGATTATATGGCAGTGGAGAAGAGGTCTAAAACACGTTGCAACTGGAACTTGTATAAGGTCCATCAGACAAGCCCCTACATTGGCAGTCTTCAGGAAGGAATTGAAAACTTGGCTGTTCCGATGTGCCTTTTCAGATTAGGAACCTCCAGCACCAAATCCTAGAAGCACCTTAGTAGAACCAAGATCACTGCACACTGCACACCGCACTTATATTTAATCCCATATCCCTCCTGCCACATCAGCACTTTTAACCCTGTACCCCTACTCCGGCCGGCCCAGTTTTAATAGTGTCTTGTTGTATTGTTACTGTTATTGTTTTCCTGCTTAACTGTTTTTAATTTGCTTGGTATTGTATTGTTGTATTGTGTTTTTGGGGCTTCGGCCTGTGTAAGCCGCATCGAATCCCTTGGGAGATGCTAGCGGGGTACAAATAAAGTTATAATAATAATATAATATATAATAATCACTGTATACAGTGAGACACAGATTCTGGTATCCCCAGGAGGAGCTATAACCAAATCCCAGCAGTTACCAAGTGCCCACTATAAAAGGAGGAAAGGTTTTATGACACTGTAAAGACTAATTAACCAGTTTTACTTAATTAACCAGCATTCCCCATCACTGGATAGTGCCAATGTTCCCCCAAACTGTTTAACGCGACACTGCAGCGTGAGTCGTTTCCCACTCATGAGACACTGCACCTTGGAGAATATTCTTCCATTTGTCCAGTCAAGTCCATCCTGATTTTCTTCTGGCTTTCATGAGCTATGTCAGTTAAGACTACAGCCCTAAACAACAGTTAAAAGAAATCACTCTCACTCAAATCAATGGGGCTTACTTCTTGTTCATTCGTTCAGTCATTTCTGACTCTTCGTGACCTCATGGACCAGCCCACACCAGAGCTCCCTGTTGGCTGTCACCACCCCCAGCTCCTTCAGAGTCAATCCACTCACTTCAAGGATGCCATCCATCCATCCATCTTGCCCATGGTCGGCCCCTCTTCCTTTTTCCTTCCGTTTTCCCCAGCTTACTTTTACAGAATGCGGCAGCATAACTTCCTTTTTTAAAAAAAATGCGGCCATTCAGTCAATTGAAGACGTAGCGGAGTGCTAGTGGTCTCATTCGAGAGGCAGGAGTATAAAGTTTTGTCCGGACACAGTTCAGTCGCTATCATGCGTTGGAACAGTGAGGAGAGTACTTTTGCTGTTGAGGCCTACTTTTCGAGCGGATTTAGAGTGGTCAGCCCGCTCTCCAGATTTGGCCCCTTGTGATTTTTTTCTATGGGGTTTTTTGAAATCCCGTGTTTATGTGAACCGTCCAAGGACCCTACAAGATTTTAAGACCAACATCCAGGAAGAAATTGCCAACATAACGCCTGCTATGCTGGCAAGAATCATGACAAACACCAGAAAATCGGTTTACTCAGTGTATGGAGAATGGGGGAGATCACCTACCTAATTTGATCTTCAAAACTACATAAAACAAAACTTTAGATAAGCACCTATATTATATATATATATAATTTTGATTCATACAATGGGTTTTATTAAATTTTGAAAAAGGGAAGTTATGCTGCCTCACCCTGTATATGCACAAATTCAGGCTGCAAGATACATCTGGTTTCACTTTTGTGCCCTTTGGGTGGGCCTGATACAAATATTGTGCTATGGAGGATGGATTTCTTTCTCTATGCACTAATCGTAGCAAATTGACACTACACAATATGTCACAGTGCCCTAAAAAAAGGCCACTATACATTGGAAAGCTGAAATATGTCATTCAGTATGAATTCAAGTAACCAATCTCTCAGAAGATATACAGATATTTTACTACAAATACGCATCTAATGAAACTGTTTTACCTCCTTGGTAATGACAAAAATGGCCAAGATTGTTTAAAATGTGAGCAGGGAATGTATTTTGTGATTTTGTGATTAACTATGTTTTTTTTCTGTTGTATGTTTTGGTGATGTTACTTGGAAACCAATCTTAGTCCCCTTACTAGCCATCTCCTGCCACGTGTTGCTGTGGCCCAGTCTGCTGATCTGGAAAATAAAGTAACGAGAAAGTGTTGGTTTCTAATATATGTAATTTCTTTATGCTTGTGGGTAAACAGTATTTCTTGCTGTTTCTTTGTCAGTGTTGATGTGGAGATTGTCTGGTTTGCCTACTCTGGAACATGCAACATTTAATTGTCCTTCTTTAGGGGTCCCTTTCAAATCTATGATACTATATCTCTGTGTGTGTGAATCATATCTATCTATATTTATGGCTGGATGGATTCTCCAATAAGGAGGGGCTTTAAATTAAGTTTTTTCCTGGCCCTGAATGGAAGAAGTTGGACTGGGGAATTAAAATATTCAGAACAAACAGTGTCACTACATTGATGTTCTGTGTGGGAAATGTTTGCCTTCAATTCGTTGTTTGTGGGGTCCAGGAACTTGATATTTGTTTGGTGAAAAAAAAACTTTAAAATCCCCAGTTAAATTACAATTTTTAGTCTTTGGGGAACAAAAAAAAAAAAATTTCATTTTTTTATGTTTTTTTTTAGTGATGGGTCACTTTCCTTGGGTTTAGTAGGTGTTTCTTTGTGGGCCAAAAATTTTTGCGTGGCAAAATTCAATTCCAGTTGGATTTTGAGTTATGTGAATCCCACAAACGAATATTACATTTTTATTTATATACTAGCTGTACCCGCCACGATATGCTGTGGCCAACCTTCCCTCTTTCTCTCCTTCTTTCCTGTCTTTTCTTCCTTCTCTACCTCTTTCCTTCCTTCCCCCTTTTTCATTCTCTTCTGCTGTCTCTCTTTTCTTTCCTTCCATCTTTCCTCTTTTTTTCTTTCCTCCCTTTTCCTTCCTTTCTTTCCCCTTTTTCTTTTCCTTCTCTCCTTCTTTCCTCTAACTTTCCTTCCTTTTCCCTTTTTCTTTCCCTCCCTCTTTCCTTTCTTCCTTCTCTACCTCTTTCCTTCATTCTCTCTTTGCTTCCATACTTCTTTCTCCCTTTCCTTCTTTCTTTCTTTCCCTCCCTTTTTTTCTTTTTCTTTCTTTTTTTCCTCCCCTTTCCTCCCTCTTTTTCCCCTTTTTTTCTATATTGTCATTTACCTTTTCGTCATTTAGCTTTTTGGGGGCATTTTAAGTCTCTTCTGCTGTGTTTTTCAGTGTTTTTATGAGTGAAGGACATACATTGGGTTGTTAGGTGTTTTGTGTCCAAATTTGGTGTCAATTCCCCCAGTAGTTTTTGAGTTCTGTTAATCCCACAAACGAACATTACATTTTTATTTATATAGACTAGCCATCCCCTGCCACGTGTTGCTGTGGCCTACATGGGGGTTCTGTGTGGGAGGTTTGGCCCAATTCTATTGTTGGTGGGGTTCAGAATGCTCTTTGATTGTGGGTGAACTATAAATCCCAGCAACTACAACTCCCAAATGTCAAGACTCTATTTGCCCCAAACTCCACCAGTTTTCACATTAGGGCAGATTGAGTATTCGTGTAGTTTGGTCCAGATCCATCATTGTTTGAGTTCACAGTGATCTCTGGATGTAGGTGAACTACAACTCCCAAACTCAAGGTCAATGCCCACCAAAGCCTTCCAGTATTTTCTGTTGGTCATTGGAGAACCGTGTGTCAAGTTTGGTTCAATTCCATTGCTGGTGGAGTTCAGAATGCTCTTTGATTGTAGGTGAACTATAAATCCCAGCAACTACAACTCCCAAATGACAAAATCATTTTTTTTTTTTGAGTGAAGGACATACATTGGGTTGTTAGGTGTCTTGTGTCCAAATTTGGTGTCAATTCGTCCAGTGGTTTTTGAGTTCTGTTAATCCCACAAACGAACATTACATTTTTATTTATATAGAAGTGCGTGTTTTTGTTTTTTGATTTTTTGGGGGGTTTTTTTGCACTGCAAATAATATATGTGCATAGTGCATAGGAATTCATTCATGTTTTTTTCAAAATATAATCCTTCCTCCCCCTTTTTTTTTCTTTCTCTCTTTGCTCTCTTTTTTTCCTTTTCTCTTTTCCTTCCCTCCCTCTTTCTCTACCTCTTCCCCCCTTCCTTCACTTCCCTCTTTCCTTCCTTCTTTCCTTCCCGCCTTCCTTTCTTCTCAAACTTTCCATCCTTCCCCTTTTCTTTCCTCCCCTTTCTTCTCCTTTTCCTTCTCTACCTCTTTCCTTCCTTCCTTCTTCTTTTTTCTTTCCTTCCTTTTTTTTTCTTTCTCCTTTTCCTTCTTTTCTTTCCCTCCCTTTTCTCTCCTTTCCCCTTTCCTTCCTCCTTTCCTTCCTTCTTTCCTTTTTTTTCTTTCCTTCCTCCTTTTCTTCCTTCTCTACTTTCTTTCCTCCCCCCTTTTTCCTTTTCCCTTCCCTCTTTCTCCTTCTTCCTTCTCTACTTCCTTCCTTCCCTTTCTCCTTTGCTTCCTTTCCTTCTCCTTTCCTTTCCTTCCCCTCTTTCTCTATCTTCCCCCCTTCCTTCCTCCCTCTTTTCCTTTTTTTTCCTTCTCTCTTTCCTTCCTTTCCCTTTTTTCCTTCCTCCTTTTTCTCTCCTCTTTCCTTTCCTTCTCTCTTTCTTTTTCCTTTTCCTTCTCCTTTTTCCTTCTTTCCCTCCCTTCTTTCTTTTTTTTTTCTTCTCTTTTTCTTCCTCTTTTTTTTTCTTTAGCTTTTTGGGGCCTTTTAAGTGTGTTTTTCAGTGTTTTTATAAGTGAAGGACATACATTGGGTTGTTAGATGTCTTGTGTCCAAATTTGGTGTCAATTCCCCCAGTGGTTTTTGAGCTCTGTTAATCCCACAAACGAACATTACTTTTTTATTTATATAGAAGAAGAAGAAGATAAGAAGACATGATTAAGGTTCTCCAAGTGCTTTGGACTTCATCTCCCAGAATTCCTGGCCATTGTCCAAGCTGGCCGGGGCTTCTGGGAGTTGGAGTCCAAAACAGCTTGGAAGCGGGTTGCCCTGTTGGTTGCCCTGTTGGGGGCTCCCTCCTCATTGGCTGGCTGGCTGACTCACTTCTCGGCGGAGGCTGAGCTGTCCCCCGGCCAGTTCGTAGAGCTGGATGACGCCGGTGCCCCTGGGGAAGCTGCCCAGGCAGACCAGGCGGGCGCTGCAGGGCACCCACTTGCACTCGAAGACCGTGTAGTTCAGGCCCTGCTGCGCGTGCGCGATGATCTGCGGCTTCTCCAGCGAGGACCCCGGAGGAGAGGACATGGCAGGAGGCAGGCAGGCCAACGGCTGGTTAGCTACTGATCCACGTCCTGCCGTCTCAATTGCGCAGGCGCAACATCCGGGGTCTCAAAGCCAAGCGCCGAAAAGCTCCCTCAATTTGTGATCAGTCTCTCCCCTCCCAGACCCAAAAGGATGCCCCGCCCCTTGTGGAGGCAGGAGGCCCGGATGTTGGTGGGCGGGGCGGCTGAGCGGCGGTGACGTCACGAGGACGGCCTTTTCCTGTCGGCGTCTTCGCGCACGCGGAGGGGCTTCGGGATGGAGGGTGCTACGAAGGGGGCTCTCGTTGCCATGGAGACACAATCTCCCAGAGAAGGAGGAGGGGAAAATGGAGGAGAGGGTTTCAGCAGCGTCCGCCGGCGGAAGAGGCGACGGCAGGGCGGCGCCATGGACACGAGCGATGGGCCCCGGCCCGTGAAGCGGCCCGACTTTCCTCCTCTGCGCGGGGAGGCCCTCGGGGTGAGGCCTATTCTGGGGGGGGGGGGGGGGAGGGAGGAGCGCATGCGCAGGAACATGCCTGCATGCATTTCAGGAACTCCTAAAGCAGGGAGCCTCAAACTAGATAGATAGATATAGATACACACATACACACATCCCACTTGCCTTTGAACAAACCTCTGAGAATGCTTGCCATAGAAGCAGGCAAAATGTCAGGAGAGAAAGCTACTGGAACATGGCCATACAACCCAAAAATCTCACAGCAACCTAATAGTAGCTGTGTACCATTGGGTGGAAATTGAGCAGCCCTCCAGATATTGTTATACTAAAACTACTAGCATTCCTAATCATTAGCTATTGCTGGATGGGGTGACCGGAGATCCATTTTATTCTCACCTTTGTCCTACTTTTTAAATATAAAACACTGTGATGAAGCTGTTTGCATTTTGAAAGGAGTGAAGGTTATACTTCCCACCACACATTCCTAAGAAATCCATCGATTTCTACAAGACTAAACACTTGCATTCGTAGAATAATTATTTATTTTATTTTATTTCTCGTGTCAGGGCAGCCAGTCAATTATATTACATTTCTAACAGAACAAAGCAAACAAACAGACAAAATACAAAATTTGTGAGTTTGGTAGTTGATTAAATGTCCTTTGACCAGTATCTGGCCACTTGGAGTGCTTCTGGTGTTGCTGCAAGAAGGTCCTCCATTGTGCATGTGGCAGGGCTCAGGTTGCATTGCAGCAGGTGGTCAGTGGTTTGCTCCTCTCCACACTCGCATGTTGTGGATTCCACTTTGTAGCCCCATTTCTTGAGGTTGGCTCTGCATCTTGTGGTGCCAGAGCACAGTCTGTTCAGCACCTTCCAAGTCACCCAATTTTCTGTGTGACCAGGAGGGAGTCTCTCATTTGGTATCAGCCATTGATTGCATGCCCAGTGTGGAACACATCTCACCACACTAAAACAGTGGATGTGGCTCGTTAATGAGACATGCCGCATTATCATGAGGTGTCTGCGCCCTACACCACTGGAGAAATTACACTGCTTAGCCGGTATTGCACCACCTGACATCCGCCGGGAAGTAGCAGCCAATAGTGAAAGGACCAAGGCAGAGACATCTCCAGCTCATCCCCTGTTTGGGTATCAGCCAGCATGTCAATGACTTAAATCTAGAAATAGTTTTCTAAGATCTACAGAGACACTCGCTGGAACACCTCAGCAAGCGAGAGACCAAAAGTGGCAGGCTCAAACCCAGCAAATCAACCAATGGCTTAGATTTCAGGATCAATCTAAGTCTGAAATGACTTGAAAGCACACAACAACAATCCTATCTCACCACCCAAAAGCAGGCCCACACTTCCCATTGAAATACTTGTTAAAATAGTTCTTCATTTTAATTATTGTATTGTTTTTAAGTGTTTTTTGCTCTACAAAATAATTTTTTAGTTTTGTTTTTGGCTCAAAATAGTCAGGAAAACTTGATCACTCATTATTGTAATACAAGGTGAGGCAGCAAAACTTAATAAAACCCATTGTATGAATCAGAATTTTTTTTATAATGTAGGCACATACCTAAAGTTTTGTTTTGAGTAGTTTTAAAGATCAAATTAGGTAGGTGACGCCCCCCACTCTCCATACACTGAGTAAACCGATTTCTGGCGTTTGACATGACTCTTGCCAGCATAGCAGGCATTATGCTGGCAATTTCTTCCTGAATGTTGGTCTTCAAATCTTGTAGGGTCCTTGGACGGTTCACATAAACACAGGATTTCAAAAATCCCCATAGAAAAAAATCACAAAGGGCCAAATCTGGAGAGCGGGCCGGCAACTCCAAATCTGCTCGAAAGGTAGGCCTTGATGGCAAAAGCACGCTCCTCACTGTTCCAACGCATGATGGCAACTGAACTGCGTCAGGACAAAACTTTATACTCCCGCCTCTTGAACGAGACCACTAGCGCTCTGCTACGTCTTCAACCAACTGAATGGCGCACATTTTTAAAAAAGGAAGTTATGCTGCCTCACCCTGTATAACTTCAAAACAGCAGTATGTAGGTGATTCTGAAACTGCTTTGAAATTGAGTCCATCATTTTGAAACACCCTGTAAATATATATTGAAGTTATGAAATGTATTACTGTCAGCAGATCAGACAACACCCTGTATATTGTTTTTGGGTGAATTTCCTAGATGTAATGTGCGTCTGCCAAAGTGTTGTGTTGCAAATGTGGTCTATATTTATATATCTATATAAATTCTAGACAACGAATTGGATGACGATTTTAACTATGAGATGTCCCGATCTGTATTGGTGGCCCAATACGGCGTATGTTTTTGTATGTATTCTTAATTTTAATTTTTTACATGTTTAAGTGAATTGTATTTTTTAACATTGTATATTTTAACATGTTGTAAACCGCAATGAGTCGCCTCACAGGCTGAGATATCGCGGTATACAAGCATACTAAATAAAATAAATAAATAAATAAATATATGTGTCTGGATATAAGTGCACTGTTTTACTAGGACAGGCTTAAAAAGTAAGGTGGGTTTTTTTGGTCTACAGAGTTATGAGGAAAGTTGATTTCCTTGTTTGTAGGCCTATTCTTGTTTTATCCAAACGGTTAAGGTAAACTGTTGTGCTTGTTCAATAATTTTTGTAATGCAAAGGAGTTGTTTTTTTAATCTAGGGTGGAAAAGATGAAATGAGGAAACTTGCTGTGCCAGCACACAGATACACACCTTTGAAAGAGAACTGGATGAAAATTTTTACACCGATTGTAGAACATTTGCTACTTCAAATTAGGTTTAACTTAAAAACAAGGAACGTAGAGATAAAGGTGAGTTACTTGATCCATTGTATGTGAAAGGGGTGGGCCTCCTTGGTTATTCATCAGAAGTTGATCTGAACCACATAGAGATTTTGCTGTCAGAAACAATGCTAAGAATTCCAGAAATCAAAAAGTGGTAGTTGTAGATATGAGGAAATAAGTTGCTTCAGTGTATCAATTTCCTTTCCACACTTCAGCCATTATTTACACATTCCATTCAGGCATGTACAATTCCAGCTTTCACGTGGTCATCAAAATTCCCAAAGTCAGCAGTGGGAAAAATCCAGATAAATAGGAAGAACTGACTAGTAACTGCATACTATTATAATTAAGTTAGGTTTGATATACATATCATTTGATAAATGCCACAACATGCAAAATATGATTATGTCTTGTCTTGGTCTGGTATCTTACTAAAACATATTTTACACATTTGATTGCAACTGAGAGGCATGTGGCAATCACCATCTGTGAGTTTTGGTTTGAGATTAATCTTGCTCTATATATACTTGTGTCATTGTGTGTTGTCAATGTTATTGCTTTGTTTTCTGAGTTATTTGCTGTCTGTTGTTGCTGTTGTTTTTACTATTGTATTTGGGTTCGGCCTCTTGTAAGTCGCACCGAGTCCTTCGGGAGATAGTAGCGGGGTACAAATAAAGGCTTAGTATTATTATTATTATTATTATTGTGTATAAGTTGACTTCATAAATCGAGGACAGGTTTTGGTGCCAGAAGTATGGATTTTGATGTGATCTGTGGAAGGTCATTTTGCAGAGAGGGGAAAGTATTAATGTCATCCCTGGCTATTGCCACTACCATTTTTCCAGCCAGATATTTAGAAAAGCTGGAAGTGGTGCCATGGTAGAGAGAGGATCAGTGCCTTGTATAAGTTCAGTTAGGATAGACTGAGTCTTTGCCTTTTGCCACTCTATTCAGAGAGGGGAATTGTGTTACAGTATATGCATGTATATGACTTAAGTTTTTGTAAGGATCGTCTCCTGTGTGTGTGTGTTGAGGAAAAACACCTTGATAATTGAATTAATCAATCTTGAACCACTCCCTGAATGGACTATAACATGAGGAGTGTTACTAATGGATTTTGGGACTTACTGAACCACTTGTTTCAAGACTTGTCTCCTTACACCATTGAGGAAGAATAAGATGCATGCATTTAATGCATAGGACTTTGTGCAAGTTTTATTTCTGCAAATGGACTGAGTTATTTTCAAAACTCGATATTTTTGTGAAGCCTAAGAGTAAATTTTGTTTTTTTCCCATTTACTCGGCTCATATTTACTCTTTGTGGATGAACAAAGGGCTGGGAAGACTGGACAGGACTTCACAATTTCTGGGTTAGCTTTTGTATAAACCGTAACAAATTGCTCCTTTATAACTAATAATTAAGGTAAGGTGGTAACATTGACTTGTGGATAAGGTGACCTAGCTTTTTCAGTTTGATTTTCTTATTAAGATTTCCAGACTTATTTATTTGTTTGTTTGAAACATTTATATTCCACCCTTCTCAACCCGAAGGGGACTCAGGGCAGAGCACAACATATATATGGCAAACACTCCATGCCAGGACATAAAATAACTATAAATATACACAAACACTAAAATCAGCTATATCTACTTTAAAATCAGATGTGTAAAACCATCTCAAAACAACATTATATATAAGAAATTACTGTTAATACAGTCTTCCATCTGTGGCCAAATGATGTTAATGTCTTGACTATCAAGTTTGCTGTTTCACAAATTCATAATAAGCTGTGAGATCAGTTGATAAACTTATGCACATTGATGTGATCTGAATAAGATGTTTGAAGGGCTTACCTTAAACCAGG